CTGACCAGGCCATTTTTTGCATTACGGCACTGCGTTACTTTAACTGACAATTGCACGGTCATGCAATGCTGCACCCAAATGAAACTTAGGTCCTTTTTTTCCCCACAAATTGAGATTTATTTTGGTGGTATTTAATCGCATGTGCGTTTTTTATTTTTTGCGATATAAAAAAAAGTCCAACAATTTTGAGAAAAAAAAACAATATTTTTGACTTTCTGCTATAAAACATGTCCAGTAAAAAAATGTAAAAATCAAATTTCGTCATAAATTTCGGCTAAGATGTATTCTGCTACATGTCTTTGCTAAAAAAAAAATCCCAAAACTTGTAAATTTATTGGTTTACATGAAAGTTTTAGTGTTTACAAATGGCGGTATGTATACTGGGATTTTTTTTTTATTTTTAATTTTTTCTAGTAATGGTGGCGATCAGCGACTTTTAGCGGGACTGTGGCGGACATTCTGACACTGGGGGGAACTGGCATGGTGTTATTGACATCCCCAGTGACACCAATACAGTGATCAGTGCAAAAAAAAAGCACTGACAGTGTACTAATGGCACTGGGTAGGAATGGGTTAACATGAGGGGTGATCAAAGGGTTAACTGTGTGCTGGGAGTATTTTACTAGGGGGCGGTGTCAGTGTACTTCACTGTAATCACAGCACATCCAAAGCAGTGTGCCCGAGCTGACAGGGAGGAAAACTGTTAGTAAGCAAAGCAGTTCTCCTCCCCATCGGAGAACCTTGGAAATCACGGGGCACCGCCGAGTAATCACCGTCAGGGACCCGGTGATTGACAGCTGTGGCTGTGAATGGTGGAGAGGGTGGGGCTCGTGCGTGCCCCCTACATAGAAATGCAAAATTACGTATATATAAGTGATTTTGTGCACTCGTGCCTCCCTGTAGCAGTATTTCTGCTATAGGGCGGCCGTGAAGCGGTTTAATCTTAGTAATAAATAGGAGGATTAAGTTATATTAGTTCCAATGGAGTATATAAATATATTTTAGGCTAGGTTCACACTGCTGCAAACCGATTTTGATCTGATTTTCAGTGCGATTATGTAATGTGCCTTGGATGCAACTTGAATGTGAATTATTATTATTATACAGGATTCATATAGCACCAACAGTTTGCATAGTGTTTTACAAAATGAAGGTAGACATTACAATTACAATACAATTTGGTACAAGAGGAAAGAGAGGGCCCTGCTCGTTACAGCTTATAATCTAGGAGGAAGGATTACATATTTAATAGGGTCAAAATCGCTTTGGAATCGCATCTAAGTAGTACAGAACCTTTTCCAAAATCATGCCATGCTGAGTTGTATTGATGTGAATGGGCACCAACCATGTGATCTTCCATTGTCATGTGATTCTGTGCAACTCAAGTTGCATCTGAAATTGCACTAGTATGAATGGAGCCTTAAGGGCTTTATGGGTGTAAGTGCACATAAAATGTTGGACAAAGCTCTGTCTTCTTTTGCCAAGGTGTTATGGCAGGTGCAGGATGCTGTCCAGCCACAACATACATCTGGGAAAAGGTAATGAATTGATTTATCTAACAACAGCAGAGAGGAATGCCAGATCATAAATGGGTCCATGCATGTAGAAGCCATCTAGAGGACAGCCCTACCCTCTCTAGTATCATCAGCAAGACATTATTGAATTGAATGACATTTCTAAAGAGAAAGCAGATAGCAACCGCAGTCTGATACTTTAGCTTACTGTTTTTTTTAATTTTGCTATGCATTTATTTTCCACAGCAAATTGGCATGAACTGCCTGTTTAATCTTGTTAGTATGAGTAGGTCAAACTCATGGAAACTGTTATAAATATTGGCCTGGCTTACCCAAACAGGAATTTAAAGTAAAAAGTAACACAGCTGTTTAATACAAATATCCAACAATAAACAATGAATACCTGGGAAAATATAAAATACAGTATAATGTTTAGTAAAAGATAAAAAGTAGTTTGAAAACGTCAACCAAATTCTAATTGTAAACATTCACGTTAGATGTATTATGGGCTCAGGGGGTAATTTAATTTCCCAAACCCGGATTCACATCAAAAGCCAAGGAGTTATTAAATTTTACTTTCACCTGGATGTATGAAGTGAAAGTTACTTCCCATGGAGAATACAACTTCCATCAATAAATTCCTTCCTCCCTGTTAATATCTATAGCCCTCAAGAAGAAAATATTCATGTCTTACTCAAAGGCAGAAGTCTGTTGAGTATAGTGGGCACCTTGGGGGGTTACTTATTTTATATGCCTGTTCATCTCCCCTATGCCAGAAGAAATACATGATTATATGTGTAGGGGAGCCAGTTTCTCCCACACTTACTGCTACCTGAGCTGCCATGCTCATCTTGCCACATGGAAGAGCTACCCCTGTTGAACTCTTCAACACATAAATGTATTACAAATATATTGTATTTAAACTGCAAATTAAAATTAGTCTTGTGTACAAGGGAGGAAGGCAACAGTATAAAAACTACAGAATTTCGAAGATAGGTAACATCCCATTATAGTTGAGCCTGTATATTAACCTCTCCTTAGCACATCAACAAGTTTACAAACAGATTTATATAATAAAATAAAACAATCACAAATACATTGATGCATAAAATAAAGTTTTAGCTGGTAGGTGCACACAGATTAATGGAAGCTGGTCATGGGTTACTGCATACCACTGAACATGGATCACAATAGAGGAGTAGCCTGTTCAAAACTGGTAGTTTGGTTTTTGGTAGATGCTGCTTATATCTCTAATGTCCCTTTCACACTAGTGGTCTGATCAGGTTCACCTGTCTGTTTTTCAGGCAGACCCAATAGGACTCTCCATTCTCCTCTATGAAGCAGACATGTGTTTACACTCGCTTACATCCAATCTGCTAAAAAACAGATGGATGGGGGATCTGTTCCCCTCTGTCTGGGTGGATTGGATGGCACTCGGATGAAAACGCACAGGCGGTTTGTTTACATCCGACCGCCCATATAGGAGAATGGGCTGTGTTTGTGTCTGCTCTGCATAAGCAGAGAGGACATGGACCAGTCATCCACCTGCACAGTGGGGGATGAAGAAACAGATCCCCTGCTCAACAAGTAGACTCCTTGTGGAGTCCACTTCGTGTGAAAGGGGCCTTAGGATCTCTATTGGTGATATTTCTGGCACTGAGTTCTTGGGTGTGTACACCTGGTTTTATTACAAATATTACTTTGGAGGAATTAGAACACACAGTGGTATGTGGAAACTTCCAGGTGGACAGGAACATAGTGAATAATTATGGCAAGGAGATCTCGTTGTTGGAATATCCAACACACTTTGGAAGCCAAGGGCTGACTCAGCCCACCTGGTTCCATGTATAGCTATAATATTGGTGTTTGGTGGACCGATCTGATAATAATTAAGTTCCATACTGATTATCTTTGTTTTCCGTGGTATAAAGGATTAACTATTCCTACTCATATGACTAATGCCAGCATAGATATTAAAACTGCGTCCATCCCAAGGTTACCACATCTTATTTTTAAATATAATATTTTTATGAACTCTTTAATTAATGCCATAAGATGTTTCCATAAATCATAAACATCAGTAATGTTTATTTCAAATCTCCAACTGTAACTACATGTTAGCTATTATGAGATTGTGGTTCCCCACCCTAACTCATGCTGATTGCTCAATGTGGAAATGGAGAAAGATGAAAGCTAAGAAAAATGAGTGATCACACATCTGGGAGCTCAAGAATGAACATCACCAGAAATAATTCATCTATATTATGTCCAGCTATATGGAAGACCAAATAATGGGCAACTTTTGGATTTGACCTCCTGAATTACTCTTTGTTCTCTACTTTTGAAGCACTGGATATTTTGGAAAGTCCTTTGAGTACCATAAGATAAATGTGCTGCAGTAAAAGCTAAAGAAAAAGAAACACTTTTTTTTGTTCCATAGAAACCATTTTAAATGATAGTTTTGTTATGTGACCCATGCTAGAACGCTAGAAAAAAAAGTTGCAATCTGATTGGTTTCTATAGTCAACTCTTTATTTTTTTTTTAATTTCTTCTATTCTATTTTATAAAAAAAAAAAATTGTTGCTTTGCTTAGCAACCTCATGAACATGTGTTCTTTGGCATGAGATATTTGTTTGATAACTGGCTTCACACCCCCTAACCCCCCCCCTCCTGTGAGGAGGGAGTAGGGGGTGGGCCTGGATCACAATGTGTGTCAATAGAAGCACACAGTGCATCTATGTATCGAGCCCACACAGCTTGCTATTTGGGCACTCTGAAGGCAGGAAGAGCCAGGAACTTCAGCAGGGGACTCGGAAGAGGAGGATCAGGGCTGCTCTGTGGAAAACCATTACACAGAGCAGATAAGTATGACATTGTGTTTAAATCCAACATTAACAATCACGTTAAGGGCTCTGTGCAGGGGAAATCAGCATCTGAACCTAGAGAAGCTGGAGGCTGAAAGACTTGTGGTAAATTATGGCATTGCAATTAATTTTAAAATATATTTAAAAATTATTATATCCATATAAAAACTGTCCATATTTATGTCCATCACTCCCCACCCTTCATTTAGAAATAGTTGTTTTTGGTTTTTAACCCCATCATGACAGGTTATACAAAAACATGTTACTGCTACTAAATGTCTTAGTGACCGCAGGCACAGGTAGCTTGTATCAAGCTACCTGCCTAAGACATAGCAGTCTGTCATGTATGATATTAGTCCTGACTGAAAATCTGCATAATAATGTTTAGGTCTTTTTAAAAAAAAAATGTTTATTTAAATAAAAATTTTGATCTCTGAGTCTGATAATATGTACCAGATTCAACCTCTGTCAGTACTGTGTATACTGTATATATCTTCTGTTATTCTCAGTGTGGACTACTGTATTTTTCACTCCATAAGACGCACCTGACCTTAAGACGCACATAGGTTTTAGAGGAGGAAAACAAGAAAAAACTATTCTGAATCAAGACTACAGATATAGTACAGGAGATGACCAGAGACTACAGACATAGTACAGGAGATGACCAGAGACTACAGACATAGTACAGGAGATGACCAGAGACTGCGGACATAGTACAGGAGATGACCAGAGACTGCGGACACAGTACAGGAGATTACCAGAGACTGCGGACATAGTACAGGAGATGACCAGAGACTGCAGACCTAGTACAGGATATGACCGGAGACTGCGGTCATGGCACAGGAGATGACCAGAGACTGCGGACATAGTACAGGAGATGACCAGAGACTGCAGACATAGTACAGGAGATGACCAGAGACTGCAAACATAGTACAGGAGATGACCAGAGGCTGCGGACACAGTGCAAGAGATGACCAGAGGCTGCGGACACAGTACAGGAGATGACCAGAGACTGCGGACATAGTACAGGAGATGACCAGAGACTGCGGACACAGTACAGGAGATGACCAGAGACTGCGGACACAGTACAGGAGATGACCAGAGACTGCGGACACAGTACAGGAGATGACTAGAGACTGCGGACACAGTACAGGAGATGACTAGAGACTTCAGATATAGTACAGGAGATGACCAGAGACTGCAGACATAGTACAGGAGATGACCAGAGACTGCGGACATAGTACAGGAGATGACCAGAGACTGCGGACACAGTACAGGAGATGACCAGAGACTGCGAACATAGTACAGGAGATGACCAGAGACTGCGGACATATTACAGGAGATGACCAGAGACGGCGGACACAGTAAAGGAGATGACTAGAGACTTCAGATATAGTACAGGAGATGACCAGAGACTGCAGACATAGTACAGGAGATGACCAGAGACTGCAGACATAGTACAGGAGATGACCAGAGACTGCAGACATAGTACAGGAGATGACCAGAGACTGCAAACATAGTACAGGAGATGACCAGAGGCAGCGGACACAGTACAGGAGATGACCAGAGGCTGCGGACAGTACAGGAGATGACCAGAAACTGCGGACATAGTACAGGAGATGACCAGAGACTGCGGACACAGTACAGGAGATGACCAGAGACTGCGGACACAGTACAGGAGATGACCAGAGACTGCGGACACAGTACAGGAGATGACTAGAGACTGCGGACACAGTACAGGAGATGACTAGAGACTTCGGATATAGTACAGGAGATGACCAGAGACTGCAGACATAGTACAGGAGATGACCAGAGACTGCGGACATAGTACAGGAGATGACCATAGACTGCGGACACAGTACAGGAGATGACTACTAGAGACTTCAGATATAGTACAGGAGATGACCAGAGACTGCAGACATAGCACAGGAGATGACCAGAGACTGCGGACATAGTACAGGAGATGACCAGAGACTGTGGACATAGTACAGGAGATGACCAGAGACTGCGGACACAGTACAGGAGATGACCAGAGACTGCGAACATAGTACAGGAGATGACCAGAGACTGCGGACATATTACAGGAGATGACCAGAGACGGCGGACACAGTACAGGAGATGACTAGAGACTTCAGACATAGTACAGGAGATGACCAGAGACTGCAGACATAGTACAGGAGATGACCAGAGACTGCAGACATAGTACAGCAGATGACCGGAGACTGCGGACATAGTACAGGAGATGACCAGAGACTGCGGACATAGTACAGGAGATGACCAGAGACTGCAGACATAGTACAGAAGATGACCAGAGACTGCAAACATAGTACAGGAGATGACCAGAGGCTGCGGACATAGTACAGGAGATGACCAGAGGCTGCGGACATAGTACAGGAGATGACCAGAGACTGCGGGCACAGTACAGGAGATGACCAGAGACTGCGGACACAGTACAGGAGATGACCAGAGACTGCGGACACAGTACAGGAGATGACTAGAGACTTCAGATATAGTACAGGAGATGACCAGAGACTGCAGACATAGTACAGGAGATGACCAGAGACTGCGGACATAGTACAGGAGATGACCAGAGACTGCGGACATAGTACAGGAGATGACCAGAGACTGCGGACATAGTACAGGAGATGACCAGAGACTGCGGACACAGTACAGGAGATGACCAGAGATTGCGGACATAGTACAGGAGATGACCAGAGACTGCGGACATAGTACAGGAGATGACCAGAGACTGCGGACATAGTACAGGAGATGACCAGAGACTGCGGACACAGTACAGGAGATGACCAGAGACTGCGGACATAGTACAGGAGATGACTAGAGACTGCAGACATAGTACAGGAGATGACCAGAGACTGCGGACACAGTACAGGGGATGACCAGAGATTGCGAACATAGTACAGGAGATGACCAGAGACTGCGGACAGTATAGGGGATGACCAGAGACTGCGAACATAGTACAGGAGATGACCAGAGACTGCGAACATAGTACAGGAGATGACCAGTGACTGCGGACATAGTACAGGAGATGACCAGTGACTGCGGACATAGTACAGGAGATGACCAGTGACTGCGGACATAGTACAGGAGATGACCAGTGACTGCGGACATAGTACAGGAGATGACCAGTGACTGCGGACACAGTACAGGAGATGACCAGAGACTGCGGACATAGTACAGGAGATGACCAGTGACTGCGGACATAGTACAGGAGATGACCAGAGACTGCAGACATAGTACAGGAGATGACCAGAGACTGCGATCATAGTACAGGAGATGACCAGTGACTGCGGACATAGTACAGGAGATGACTGCAGACATAGTACAGGAGATGACCAGAGACTGCAGACATATCACAGGGGATGAGCAGAGTTCTTTCAGCAATGCACAGATGTACGGTTTGTGAAAAACAGCTCAGGGTTTGGTATAACAGTCTACAGACAGTCTATGAGGGGAAGGACATACCTGGCCAGTCATGCTCAGCATCCTCTCTGAGGTCGGGGGCAGGGCTCCTATTCACATCACAACTTCTACTACAGCAGCTCCCTCTCAAGCATACACGTTGCATGGGGCGGGGGTCAGTGGAGCTTCTGGCCCCGCCCCTGCCCCCTTCCTGCTGGCTGGCCTGGTATTCTAACACGAGGACAGGGGGGAGGGGGGGGGGGGGGGGGAGTCCTGTTCAATATTTGCTCCATAAGACGCACAGACATTTTCCCCCCCCCATTTTTTTTTGGGGGGGGGAAAGTGCGTCTTATTGAGCGAAAAATATGATAATTATTTTGTTCCCTTACCATATAGCTGATTATTTATATTTACCACTGCAGATAGATATTCAAGGATATTTTTCAAACTTTACATATTACCTAAATTGCACACCACACTTTTTTTGAGGTTTTTATCCAATTAATGGAAACAATAGTTGGCCAACTAAGTGATTATGAAAATAATCATTAGTTTCAGCCCTACATGATAGCAGACTATGATGGCAAAAGAAAATATTCCAAGCTATCAAGAAGAAAAGTCTATTGATTTTTTTCCTACTGATCCTTCTCCACAATCTGGTTACGTTAAACTGGTCATACCAGGTTTGGATTGCAAAAAGGTCACACAGATCAAATTAATCTTCTGAAAACAGTTTAAATACAGTATATATTTTTATAGCACACAGAATCTGTTTGCCTTGATCTATGTGCTTTTGTAAATATAATCTGGTTAAAAGTAGCAGCAATGACCATGTCTACACATTCACATACAGTTAGGCATATAGTACTGTATATAATTCCCCTTTCCTTTAGATTGTAAGCTCCATGAGCAGGGCCCTCCTATTCCTTCTGTACTGAAATGTATTATAACTGTATTGTCTCTCCCTTATATTCTAAAGCGCTGCACAAACTGTTGGCGCTATATAAATCCTGTATAATAATAATAATATACGGGATCCACTTATGTATATTAGGCCATCCTGATCCCCCTCTGGTTATCACTTGATCATTCACAATAACATTTTATGTGCATTTACTGTATGTTTACTTGTAAAAACATCCCTTGTGTAGACAACCAAAACCCCTAAGACTGTTGCTGGGTGCCACCATCTAGGATGCGAAGTCAGCAACTCCAGCAGACTCAAGCAATACACTATAGTGTTCCCTTTCACTCTTCTCCTGGCTGCTCATAAAAGATTATGTAGGAGGTAAGGGATGGAGATGCTGGGCCAGCACAGACAGTAATCAAACACTCCTAGAAGAGGAGAGGACTATGATGTGAATTAGAGAGAGGGCTACTAGTAAGTTCAGAGTCACATTGCTAATTTGTGGAAAGGAAAACCATTGCAAGTAAGCATTTCAAATACTTGAATTTTCTGTGTGTTTTAGCCTGCAAATGTTTATATTTGGTGGCAGGGTCTCTTTACAATTTATGTCTTTACTATCTTGAAACACTTTGTTAAACCAAGCTAATATTATGGACAAAGTCATATAAATAGGCGAAAAAAAAAAAAAAAAGGCAAATTTATATAATATTATTTGTTAGAGTTTATATGTAATATATATTTGTAGAGGGGGAGGGAATGGAGATGAGCTAACAGATGCTGCTGGTGTTGCTTATCTAAAAGGGTGCAGCAAATTGGGCAGGATTTCTAACCTAGTGTAGATATATTTGTGAGATCTTCAGATTGATATCAAATGTTTTTTTATTGAAGAATGATCACATCACAAACAGGAGAGTGGAACGTTTTGAACCATGCAGGACTCCTTCGTCTGTCATGTGGTTAATGCATACAGTTGTGCAAGGTACCGTGCTTCTAACCTGACTGTTCTGTCAGTGTGTAGTCAGCTGATTGGAGAATAACTAATCTAAGAACAAAAATGTGGTACATTGCAGCTTTACCAGTCCAAAGATGTGTGGTGGCTGCATTATTTTTTTCTAGGCTAATAATCTTTTTATCGAATACAGAAAATACTTAGCCAGAAGTGGCCTTTTCTCTCCCTGTGAGCAGAAAAGAAAGACCAAACATCTTTCTTGTGTAAACTACTAGTCCCAATCCTTTATTTAATGGAAATTTCAGTCTGCTGGTAAAAAAAAAAAAGTACCTTTACTTTTCAGTTTATAACCTACACTTTAAAAATGCCAGATATTGGCAATCACAAGTAGCATTTTCTGTTGCACTTTTTTCACATTTAATGAAGCCTGCTAGTTTTCCTTTGCAAACACTGTAGGAAATTTGATAAGAAAATGTGAAAAGAATCTAATAAATCTATAAGCATTCCTGGGGTTCAGAAGTGAAGCAACTAACATGAACATGGCTTGGAAAAAGTGATTTAATCAGAACATTCCCTGACATTGAAGGTGGAGTTCTGAAACATTGTCAGTTTAAGTGGATTGTTTCTGGTTTTGATTTAATGAGCATGAGTTTTACAGGAAGACCCGTGAGAAAGTTCAGGTTTATTATAGAATTTTACAGTCACTGGGAGATAGTTAAAAGTACCATGATAGTCATTAAAATCACATAGAAGAGTTGGTACCGCTAATGTTTTATGGCACAAATACAGTGTCTTCACTATTTTTCTTTTATGTGTATAGCAACAGCATCATAGAACAAGAATAATA